ATAGCTTAGTATTTTCCTTTGTATGAGTGCCTTTAAATTTCGGCCATAGGCCTATTGTAATGCTCAGATTTTTATTCTTCATTTCAAGATAGAAATACACTGGTTGTATTCTGTTTTCAAATCCTAATTTCTATATCTTAAGGTTGGTTTCCTTAAGTGTGAGTGTTAGGTTCTAGTTATTTAATTGAGTGTGTAATATCTTAATTAAATTCTAGACTCAAACCCCAAGTGAGGATAAGAGTGTGTTATATCTCTTAAAACCTACTTGGTTTTTATCCCTTTTCCCCTCTTATTTTCCCTTCCAAATTTTCGGCCCTCCTAAAAAGCACAACCAGTATCCCCCTTTTTCTCCCCTATTCTTATGCCTTTAAACCATCTTAAAAATCAACCCTTCATCCTCCTCCATATACTCGACCAGTCCACTCCCCTCCCTTTCCAAACCCAAGCTTAAATATATCAGAACCTGAATGAAAACTCAACTTGCAACTTAAAGCAAGAAACTCCACTATCACTGCTCTTAGTGAAGGCAAAGTTAATTGCATAGAGCAAAGTATCAATGACACATAAATATTGCTTTGAAGTTTTAGATTGAAGTTTGTGCGATATTCTATGAATGTTCAATCAAATGAGTGAAAATTAAATGGTTGGATGAAAAACAATCATCTCTAGTGAAGATTTTCATCAAATATTAACAGTAATTTCAAAATGAACTAGACAATATGTTGTTAATTCAACGATTAATTCTTCTTACATTTGGACACATTGCACCATTGCGTTTATCAAAAACATGATGCTGCAGTCAATTATTCATGCGTACCAATGTGTAGTATGTTTATAAAAAAAATTCCCAAAATTTGCAATTTATTTGATATTCATGCTTTACAGTTTTATATTTCGTTAACATTCTATTTATATTCTTCAATAACGATATTAATATAATTTCATAGTTTAAATATGAGATGTGCAATGCACGAATTTGATAATAGTATCATGTATCCAGCTGCATGATATATACTCGTAACGGGATGAATGGGGCATATTACTGAAGGAGACAAATACTCCTTCTATCACTAAATGAATTACACTTTATGCAAAACGAAGTAAATTTTTGGTTTTTTCTATTCATTTTATTTAATAATTGATATAAAAATAAAAAACAAACCTCACATATTTAAAAAGTACATCAAAAATTCTACAAAACAAGAAAAGACGCTATTATTTTATTTATCAAATAATTAATAAAAATACATAAATAAATAAAACTCATTTTGATTTTTTAAATACTAAAGAGTGCAAATGATTGTAATTTAAACTTGTCTATATTTCATTTCATCTCTACACTGCAGGTGGAAGTTTGTCCAATGCCCCATTAAGCTCTCACAAGTCACAACAACACAGACAAAAACAAATCCTCCATGAATCTCATAGTCAAGCTTTACCAGAACTATTATCCTCCAAGACTTTTCCAGCTTTCCAAAACTTCCCTTCATCCCCACACATTATCTCGCCAAACCCATTTTATTTCTCTATCGCACGATCCCAAAACAGACATTTCTTGGGGATATACTAATCCCAAGCGTCCCAAGGCATCGACTATTCAGAGACCAGCTTGGAGTAGCATAGAAGAACAAAGCTCGGAGGAGGGAGATGGATATGAGTACTTGGCAAAAGATGGAGAGGTTTTTCAGAAGACTCTCAGGCTTGTGGAGACTGCCATGTTTGCCTCTGTTTCTGGGTTAGCCTATCTCTTAAGCAATTCTCTTGCTGTTGAGGTATAATACTCCGTAATAATTACTGTATTGGGATTATCTGTTTAAAATTTATCTAATTATTTCACCAGACACTACTTTTTGCGGGAAGCGAGGTTGAGATGGTTTGGTCATGTGAGACGGCGGGATGCTGACGCCCCTGTACGGAGATGCGAGAGGATTATGGTTATCGGGGGAAGTGGGGGAAAGGGTAGACCTAGGAAGAATTGGAAGGATGTGATTAGGCAGGATTTAGGACTTCTCACCCTGACTGAGGATATGGCCTTAGATAGGAACCTTTGGAGAACTAGGATTAGAGTAGCTGGATAGGAGCTCGGTGCTGTAGAGGTTGTTTTGTAGTGTGTTGTGTTTGATTGGAATGTTTTGCTATTGCTTATAGGACTTTCATTTCATTGTACTTGGTGTTTTATCTGTGTTATACTGTGTTCCTTTCCATATTTTTGTGCAGGTTGAGCCGGGGGTCTCTTGTAAACAGCCTCCCTACTTCCGAGTAGGGGCAAGGTCTGCATACACACACCCTCCCCAGACGCTACTGTAGTGGGATTCAACTAGGTTGTTGTTGTTGTTTACTGGGTTTGTTGTTGTTGTTGTTGACCTTAAATAAATAGCATATAATGGAAACTTCTAATCCCCAATCAACAGATATCCTTAAGAATGTCAATGAAGAGATTCAATTAGAAATACATGAAATTAGAAAATGTTCCTGCAATTTTACTAAAATTGAGAGCAGTGTTGGTCTTTTGGAAAAGAGTTCACAGTCAAGGTTTTCTTGGATGCAAAGTTCATTTGTAAATTTGTAATTCATTTGTATCTAAAAAGGTGGAAGTCTGAGTACAAAATTCATGAACTTGAAGTTTTTTTTTCTGGGGGAGGGGGTCTCAAGTTGTCGTCTTTGATTGTGGGTATTTTATTGCTTAAAATTCTTATATAGTTGGTTCCTTCACAGAATTACTTCGGATGTTTCTTTGCATTACCCATAGTAATATCCTCCCTGAGATGGGGTGTTGCAGCCGGAAGAAAAACTATGGTCTGTCCTCGCGTTTATTATACATTTTGTTCTTGCAAGTTTCTAAAAGATCTATACTAAAAAAACGATGTAGTTCCATTCTTCTCCACATTATGACGTTTGACAATTCTAATCTAGTTTTTCCATCTCATTAGGTGGCGACTGTTGTGCTGTTGTTTGTCCTGTCTGGTCCAGTGAAAGCGATTAACTATATGGTGAGCAATGTTTACAGAACTTTGAACATGTGTTAGGGTTAAGTTTCCGGACTCTGGAATTCTATTTTGGTAGACATCTTTTAGATTTTTGTTTGGTTCGAGGGTTTTGGAGGGGAGGAAAGTGAAGCAAATGTCAATTGCATGTGTTTTGTTGTTGGGAGTTAGGGGGGAGGGGAGCAAACTAGGAAAGTGGAGGAGCTATAAAACCCATAAAGTCTTTGGTCCTGTTTGCACACAATATTTTCAATCAGCGTTAGTGTTTTGGATAATTTCTTAATGGTACACATTGACTTTAAAAACTTTGAAGCTAATCGCTACCATTAGATAGCCTTATCAAAATGCCGGAGTTGTTTCCAAACTAACACTTCATCTTTATGTCTCACTGCTTCAGTTTGGGAGATTACATTCTTAATTTCTTTCACGTTATTTTTTAGAACAGAACTCTTCTACATTATTGCTGTTATACATGTAGATTATATTTTTAATTTCAAATACAATATTCTCACATAGTTTTACTAATATTAATTCCTTTCTACTTTATCAAACCAAATTTAATGTTTCACGGGTAGTTATGGGTCTTCACAATAATATCCTAAGTACGCGTAGGAGTGGAGATAAGATTTGTGATTGGTGTACATCTCACCCAATTTCTGAGTGGAATATATGAGTATGTTTGGTTTGGTTTTATTTTGTTTAAGGGCGTAAGGAGTACTACAAATACATGATTTTCTTTTCCAATCATGCTAAAAGCTGTCACTTTCGAGATGACTCTCCTATAAAATTTGAAGCAATACCCCAATACATCAAGATAATTAAAAGTCAAACATAAGCTTCGAATGAAAGATTATAAGTTCATTCTGTTTGTAGACTATGCTCATATCAATAGAAATGGATGTCGTATGACCTTCAAGATTATATAGTTTCTTAGTAATCCTTGGCATCATGATTTGAGACGTTCAAGTCTTAATTTGTACGGGGTATACAATTAGCTGCACATTAGCTGATGATAATGTGATATGTTCCGTTAACTCACTCTCTTTATCTCCTTCCATTATCCAGTTAATGCACGGTTTACTTGGGTTGACTATGGGCTCTTTATGGAGGTATGCAAATCATAGCCTTAGTTTCTACATGCTTTGATATTTTCTTAGTTTTTTGGGGGGATCATTCCTGGTGTTTGTTTTTTTTCTACCAAAGTATATGTGACACTGGAACATAGGCCCAATAAATATTAATGTGTTGTATTACATGGTTTTGCCCCTTTACGCTATGTTTGGATGGAAAAGAAAACAATAATGATTCTCTTCTTTTCCTTACCAAAATGGAAGGAAAGTTGTTCACTCCTAGTTTACTTTCTCTTCTTATTTCTTTTCCTTCCATGTCTTCTCTTTTCCTCTCTAACCAAACAAGAAAACTTATTTTCCATATCATCTTCCTTTCTTTTCCTTTTCAAATTCCTTGAACCAGACATAGTGTTAACTGTTAAGAATTGCCATGAAGAGGGACATATTTTCTAAAAGTTGTGTATATACTCCCTCAATCCTCAAAATAAAATCCATAGTTTGACTTCTGTGAGTTTAAGAAAAAATGTTGAAATGTAAAGTGTGCGGTAGAAATACGTTTGGAAGAGAGAAAAATGTTGTGAGTCACATATTCTTTCCTTGAAAAGGAAAGGGAAGAAGTATGAACTTTGTTTTGGCACGGATAAAAAAGGAAAGTGTGGGTTTACTTTGGGAACATAGGGAGTCTGGGAGTAAATTATATTGGACTCTATTCAATTCTTCCCCAGCTTTCCTCCAGGGCTACATAACGGTTTTGCTACTGTAATAATTTCAGGTTGCGCGCTAATTGGACGCAATCAATCTTCTTGTGTGCCCTTGTACTGTTTCCATTCCCTCCAGTTTAAGTCTCTTTTCCTTTGCTCAGAACCTGGATTCATTTGGAACCTTGGAAATGCTAGGGAATACAAATAAGGGTGAAACTAGAATTAAAGGGAATTTATAATAAATAATGTAAATTGAGGGACTCCATTTTATATCTGTTCAAAATTATTTTATGTATCCATTTAATTTTTTCTGAAGATTTTTTGTAGGCTCGGGCAATAGGTGCCATAGGGTATGTGCTATTGTCTTCGTTTCTAATAAGAGAAAACATACTCCAATTGGTAAAGTGTGGTCCTCAAATCTCTCCTAATTAATCTACGTTTTGGTGTTCTGTTTCTCCCAATGTGTAATGTTTTTTTCACTTGTGATATTTGGTCTGCGGTTTTTTTGTAGATTACCATAAATATCCATGCTTCCCTCTCGTACGTCCTCACATCTATTGGCAGCAATTCAATTCCAACAATGGATGTCATATACACCATTTTCGGGACTCTGGTATGTGTGTTTCTGAGAATTTTCTCTGCTGCAGTGGACCTTTTAGACTGTTCATTGCTGAATTTAGGACTTATTCTTCAAGAAAATAAGAGCCTGTTCTCTTCAACTTATTACTTGTTCTTATTGGTGTCAGAACAAATCAGAAACAAATTTAAATATAACTACGATCAGAGATCAATTATTCGAATCATATCAGAACCAATCACATAAGTTGAAGAAAACAAGCCTTAAGTGCTTAAAGTGTTTTCTTAAAAAAAAGTACTCACAATATTTAACTCTTGAGTAAATTCCACAAATGGTCTTCTATGATTAAGGATATGATCCTTTGGTATTTGGAAGCTAATATTTCCCTGTCTTTCGTATTTGCAGCTTCTTATCAACTCGGCTTTCTTTGCGCTACTGCTACATATTCTGTATGCAATCTTCTTTGCCAAGTTTGGGATGAAGTCTTCATTGAGACTCCCCAAATGGGTTGAGGTTGCAATATAAGACTTGCATCATAAGAGTACAGCTGAGGAGAGTGTGGGGTGGTGTCAAATTTGTGTTGTAATGGCTAAAGTGATAGTATATATGGTGGAAATGATTCCAAAGTCTGAGTGAGAATATGATAATCACATAATCACACTCTTTCCAACGTTTTTGAACTCTTTTCGATTCCTTCTAACTCCTCCCAGAGTCCCAATTACCAACAGGCAACAACGACTTTAAAAACATATTTATACATGATGCATATACACTAACATTATATATCTAAATTTATATCATACCCTCTCAAACACGGACAATGATGAGCTCATTCTTTTTTTAATTGAAACAAAAGATGGGTTTTTTGTAAAAACCGTAGATCGGCCGGGTTGACTCGGTTCCCCAAGTCTGCCGGTTCAGGCGGTTCTGGGTGGGTTTTTGGGAAACTGGGTTTCATGTTAACCCAGACCGGAGTTGTCACTGGTTCGCGGTCTGACCGGTTGGACCGACCAGTCCATCCCAAGTTTAAAAACATTGCCAACAACGACTTAAACAAGATGTATGATGCATTTACACTAACATTATATATCCACATTTATATCATACCCCCCTCAAACATGGATAATGATGATTTTTTTGTCCAAAATTAAAGTTTTCTTACATGTTTATTTTGTGATTATTTAATTGAGTAATTTTTTTACCATTGAAATTCTTCCATTCTAACTCTTTCCAATTTTTTTTCAATTCTTTTTTTCTTCAATCTTCTTCCGTTTTCTTCCAACATTCAAAATTCCAATTCAAAATAGCAAGAGGCAAGTGACTACACCAATCTTGAATCGACGGTCGCATGGAAAACTACTTTGAGTGGGTTTTAGAGTATCAATTCAACTTTCGTTTAAAAATAAAATTTTATAGAAATAAATTTATTTATCACATTAATATATGTGTAATAATCTGTTTTACTATTTTTTGTCTTTGAGTATTTGTTAGGCTTGATTTTTTGTAGTAAATCTTTTTCAATTTTTGACATGGAATTAAATGAAAATCATGTTATAAATTTATTAAACAAAATAATATTTTAAAATATTTTGTAAAAATATCTAGTAATATTTTTATTTCTAAATTTTGACTGTAAAATGTTAAAATTAGACAAAAATTCAAGGATGGAAGTGATATATTTTTAAATACGACATAACAAAATAAAAATCCCAAATATTGAAATATATGTTTACAAATTAAATTTTACTTATTTTTGTTAATTGTATCCAACTTCTATCTCAAGAAAAAAGAGTAAATTCCATAATTGGTCCTTTATAACAGGGGAGTTTCCCTATTTAGTCCTCTATTATCAAATATTACTTCAGTGGTCCTTCTTTCACGAGTATCTTTCCACAAATAGTCACTTTTTTATTTTCAATCATGTTGGTGTTAATTTGAGGGCTAAAAGTGTAATTTCACAATGATAATATATCTTTTTTGTCATACACAATTCCAAAGGCTGTTCCGTTTGTGTCATTTGTGAATTACAGTCGCTTTCTACTACAACCATAGTCTACAAATGTGGTCTTTCGTCTGAATCCTAGCCCACAATCATAGTCATTATTTTTGTGTTATTCGCTTAACCAATATCAGAACACGTCACTAGACATAATGTTGATGTCAAATTATGCTTTTAGCCTTTAAATTATCACCAACATGGCAGAAGATCAAAAAAAGGACCATTTGTGGAAAGACACCCTTAAAAAAAGGACTACGGGGGTAATATTTGATAATAGAGGACTAAATATGGAAATTCTCCGGTTATAAAGGACCAATTATGGAATTTACTCAGAAAAAAAAAATACTTATTGCATAAATACTTTGTATGGATAAGGAAAATAAAAATTCTGACCAAACAAAATAAAAATGTTGACCAAAGTTAGTTTTCTTTACCTATCGAATCGCGCTAGCCTAGCTTTGGAAAAGCACCGTTCTTCCCTATTGCATCCCCCGCAGCTTCAGGTATTCCTCTCTCTTCTCTACGCCTCCATCTTCAGTCTGCGTGTCTTCCTCTCGCAGCTCTCATCAAATTATTTAATCACCACCGTTTTCTGATCCGGGCTATTTTGACCTTAGAACAACCCGGAGCACCTACAGTTAGGGTTGTAAAACGAACGAATCGAATTTTATGAAATTTTATGAAAAATGGGTGGTGGAGAAAAAGGGTGGTGGAGAATGAGGTGGTGTACATTTGGAGTACCCCTAGCATTGCTCAAATTTTATTCATATTTGAAAATTGATACCATTATTCATATTCATATTCGTTTTTTATTCGAATAATTATTACTATTCGTATTCGATTTGATATTAAATTCAAATATTCGGTTCGTATTCGTATTCTTTTATGAAATACAATTTTTGATTTTTTACGTTCAATAGCTTCAAAAATTAGTAAAAAATCACTCAGGAGTAAAATATGGAGAAAATATCAAAATATGAACTTCATATTTTATTTCTAAATAGGAGTTCTCATTGTGGTAATGTGACACTGCATATAAACAATTCTCAATACTTTAGTAACGTACATGGTCATGATTGTCGCTGCAAATACAATTTAACTCTTATTTCGGGAATAAAAACATATAACTCCTATTTTGGTTTATTCTCAATGTGTTACTTTAGTTTTTTTCTAAAATTAACAGGGTTCTAAAAATGACATGTTTATAACAACGACAATCCAGATAGATTCCACGAGAGTAGGGTTTGGAGAAGATGTGTATAGGCAAATCTTGCCCCCCTACACAGTACTCTGTATTATGAAGCAAATATATTAGATATAAATTTCTATATTTAAATTTGAATATATTCATAAACACAATGAATCGAATACATATACATTCGTATTCCTATTCATTTTCTTTCGAATTCTAATAAATATTTATATTCTTATTTGTACTGATTTTTTCAAATACAAATCGCCAATTGAATCAAGATTATTCGTTCATTTTATAATCCTACCTAGAGTGCTCTGTTGCGGTTTTGGGTGGGGGTTAGAGGTTAGAAATCATCAATTTTACCAATAAATAATACATTAAAATGTTGTTATTTTTAATTTTTAAAAGGGAGCGTCTAAAATGACACCAATTACTTATACACCAGTTTGTTTGGGGTACCTACGGTGCTCCGTTTGTAAAAATGATGGTTCATAATTCTTAACCCTCACCTAAACCCCCACCCTAGCCCCATCCTTGCCCCCCACCCCAGCCCCCTCCCTACCATAGGAGGGGGCGCTGGGGTGGGGGGTTTAAGGGGTTAGGAACCGTCGTTTTTACAAACGGAGCATCGTAGGTATCCCAAACGAACTGCTGTAAGCAAATGATACCTGTAGCATTTTAGACTTTCATTTTTTAAAATTATCCTCTCTATTTTTTTTTCTTTCTTCCACGGCCCAGCTCCTCTAGCACTGCCCTTTCTCGTTCTATGGAGCAATTTCTTCTTTCTTAGACGGTCCAGCGACGCACAGACGCCGTTCTTCCTCTCCCGATCCGCGTTCCAGGCACTTCCCCAGCGGCTTTTCTTCTTCCAACTCCCGGTATGATTTTGTTTCCTTGTTTTTTTTGCGATTTTTCCTCTCACGGACGCCGTCTTCCTCTCCCGATCAGTTTTTGTTTTTGCGATTTTTGTACTGTTTTTTTCTCTGTTTTCTTTTCGTTTTTTTCTGCAGTTTATTTGCTTTTGCTGTTTTTTTTTGTTTTTTTACGTTTAATTTTTTGCTGCGCGCGAAATATAGAGGTAATAAAATAGGGCACTGCCCTTCACCCAATCGCACGAAACCAATCGCCATCTTCACATCACCTTCTTCTTCCGGTTCCGATCGCCAATCGACAGGTATTCCCGTCGCCGTTCAATTTTCACTTTTTTTCCCGATTTGCTCTGCTCTTCAATTCCGCCATAATCGCTGCATAGTTTTTTTTTGTTTCAATTTTGATCGCCATCTGCTCCTTCGCTGCCCAATTCAGATTTTTTTACGTGGTTATTTTTGTTCTGCTATGCTCTTCAATTTCTATAGCCATTGCTCACTTTTTTTTGCACTTCAATTTTCACTTTTTTTTTTCAATTTCCAGATTTTTTTAAAAACTTTTTTCGTTCTACTTTACTTCAATTTTACACTTTTTTCAATTTTCAATTTCCTGTTTTTAATTTCCTCTGCTTACTACAATTTTCATTTTTTTTCGGTTTCCAGCTTTCTTTCACAGTTCTTGTTCAGTTTTCGTTTGTGTGTTTCATTTTTTTCAGTTCTCGTTTCTTTCAGTTTTCCTTTTTTTTCACTGTTTTTTGTTTCTGTTTTTCAGTTTTTGTTTCTTTTTGTTTCTTTTTGTTTCTTTTTTGCTTCCTGATATATGGAATATATAAATTATATGAACATTGGAATATAGTTTTTTTAAAAAGAAATTATACATTTGATCACTTGAACTTGTATTGCTGCAAAAGAGTCATTAGAGGTGATAGCTTAATTATATTCATCGTGAATGGAGTTTATCCCACTGTTAGTTCTCAATAGAAATCGAAATAATACATACTTCATATATAACTAAATTTCTGGTGTATAAACTCTGTAATTGTTATTCCTGATATATGGAATATATAAATTATATGCACATTGGAATATACTTTTTAAAAAAGAAATTAGACATTTGATCACTTGAACTTGTATTGCTGCATTGTCAATTACTCCGTATATTTTTTAAACAAAGAAATTAGACATTTTATCACTATTTTATTTATTATAAGACTTGTGTCTAAATATGTCGTTTTTTGTGAACATATGTTACATTTGAAGTCAATGTCCATGTTTTTTGATGTGTGGAAGAACAATATGGTTGATGTTTTTATTATGAAATGTATGACAACTAAATTTTGATCAGTTGCATTTATATAAGATGATGTTACTTAGAAGTTTCGTCCAAGAGTGTTTATTTAATTTTAAAATTTTACATTTGAAATTTAAATAAATTCTAATAAATTAAATTAAAAAAATGTTTAGAATTGATGTAAAAATAATTTTGTATATATATTTTGCGTACGCATATAAAAGTCCGTACAAAAGAATATAATGTGAAAGGTAATTTCATATAAATGCATCCTAAACAAATAAAGAAAAACAACCACAAGGATATTTTAGTACTTTTATCCTTTCCCTACCTCACGTCACCTAATAAACATCCAAACACAATTTTTTAACTCATTACCTTACTTTACCTACCTTCAATTACCTACCATTACCTACCTCATAAAATTTTTACCTACCTCCAACCAAACATAGCCTAATTTATCTACATTCAATTACCTACCTTCGATTACTACCATTACCTACTTAATAAAACTTTACCTACTCCATCCAAACATACTTTAAGTATGTTTTCTTCTTCTTTTTTGTACATTTTTATTCCCTCCAGGAGTAGTTATTCAATTATCCTGTACCTCCCTAATTCTACATTGTTTTATGAATGCATGATGTTGTGTGTGTGTGTCTAGTACATACGTAGGATCTTACTATCTGGGTTACCATCTTATAATTTAGGATCTTTTATTGTTATCCCGATCCTCCGCAGAATCTAGAGTTTGACTGCCTTAACACAACTATAACACTCTACAATTCTCTAGCATATCGTAGTGACGTCGTGTAGAGAGGTGTGTAATTTTTTAGGGATTTTTTTTGGAATTCTAGGGTAGGTCAAATCTTATGGTGTTCCACATAGCCCATCATTGGATCAAGACATCAAATATATTATCATCCTCCATAGGGGGTGTGGAATTTAGGGTTATATTAGATTGTAAATTCAACGTTACGCTTTAAATTTTGATTATTTTTAGTTGTATGAGTTTCAATTTGTTTTACAATTGTGGTCTGGTTAATTGAGTTGGTTGTTTCTTTGATCTTCACAGGTATTATTGATTGGAAGCAGATATTAGATGATGGGTAAGGTTTTGTTCCCCCCCCCTCCCACACACAAAAAAAACTAAATTTTCTTTGTGAATGAAATGGAGCAAGTACTGTGCATTTTATCTGATTGTTTGATGATTTTGGGGGATGGGCTTGTCTTTTTCTTGTCCTTTTAGCCAAAGAAGACAATCAGTCTCGAAGAGAACGCAGGAAGGAAGCTCGGTTATCAAAGAACAAGAAGAAATTTGATTCGTGGCTCCAACATCATAAAGTAAGATACACTTGGAGTAGAAAAGACTCCCTTAGGCTGCTTGTAAAAAGCTCATCGGCTTACAAAGAATAAATATCTAGAAGATAAATGAAAAATACGTTTGTTTTAATGTTGTGCTTATGTTTTTCTCTCTAAATCAATAAATTGCAGAAATCATTGAAACATGAAAAGATTGAACAGGGGTTGATTGTCCCAAAGAATAGTATGGATTTGCTCAAGGACTTTGATATTGGACCAGGATATGACATTGATTCTTCCCCTGCAGTGGAAAGCTCTAAGGCTCAAAAAAACAAACTAAAAAGGAAATGTGACTTATTAAGTTCAAACACAAATGTCAATGAATGTGTGGCAATGAATATGAAGGGAGGGGTTACTTTTGCAGAAGATCATATGGTATCAAAAAGGACATTTGAAAAGAAACCCAAAAAGAAGCGTGTCAAAATGGGTAGTGGTGGTGATATTAGTGTAGCCGGTCAAATAGAAGAGTTTCCAAAGGGTACAAAGAGTCACTCTTCAGGCAAGATAGGCACAAAGAAGAAACAATCTTCAGATGCGAATGTAGTGGATGAACTACCTGGCAGAAGGGTTAAAAAATCTGTTCCTCTGCCGTCAAAGGAGTTAGCTAAGAAAAATAGAAATAAAACAAGGTTTGAAGAGTTGTTTGATTCTGAAAATGGTGTTATTCCAGCTGAAGAGGATCTGGATTTGGAAAAAAAGCTTGCGAAGAAACTGAAGGTGAAGGGAGGGAAATTAAAAGGAGATGATGACGGCATTAATATGTTATTTGATGATATTCCTTCTGTTCTTGACCTGATTGAGGATGAAAAGCTCCAAAGTGCAGAAAAAAGTGATATGAAGATCCTAGACAAAACGTTGCATAAAAAATCTAAAAACTTGAAGTCAATCAAACAAAAGCAGTTCATAGAAGGAGAGCAAGAGCAGGATCAACAGTTTGTAAATCCAACTGACAGAGCTTATGAAGCATCTTCCCCACCAGTAACTTCTGGTACTAATGTGGAACCGGGAAAACTGTCTGCTCAGTCTGCACTTGTAGGAAACATGAAATATATTGCTCCTCACAAAAGATTTCAAATGGGAAGCGAATCACAAGACAGTGCTCAAATTCGCAAACAAGTCCGAGGCATGTTGTTTTAGGGATTATGTTTTTGTGCTTTGCTTGTAATCTTGTATAATATTTGTTTGTGTTGTTGATTCTCATCCCAATCTTTCGCAGGTCTCTTGAATAGGCTATCAGAATCAAATGTGGAATCAATCACAGGTGAAGTGTCTACAATCGTCCATGTAATTAACTACTCCCATCATATTCATTATGCAGTTTTTTATGTAAATGAATAAACTTGTGTTTAATTTGAGTTTAGAGAAGTGTTTTTAATTTATTACAAGCGTACATAGAAATTAAGGTGGCACTGCATTTGAGTGTGGATATTGGAAGGGGCGATATCATGTGGCATGAATCTGCAAACTGAGTAGGGTCATATATTCTAGGCCCTAGGGAAGTAGACTTGAGTTTGGACCTTCAAATGGGAAAGCTCGATGTTCATTTTGAGACCTTCCTGTGAACCGCATATAAAATTAAGTTCTACTATGTATTACATTTGTCCATTGCCAACGAAGCTAAAAGAGTCATTATATACAGTGTTTTAACTTTGGTCAAATAATGGACTATATCGAAATGTTTTAGCTTTGGGCAGTATTGCAACACTGAATCAAGGGTCTAACAAAACAGCCTCCCTTTTTTGGTTTTTTTCCACCGAGTTAAGGCTGTGACACCTTGGCCCCTAACACCCCAACAAAGTTAGGTCTTAGGATTGTACCAAGTTTTGGTGTTGTTTTGCGAGATGTGATTATTCATAAGAGCTAAAAGCGGCCACCATATTCTGTTTTATCTGGCCTCTTAAAATTGAGATGCCCTAACCTACAAGTGGGGTCTCAGTGTGTGTGTGTGTTGTAGTGTGGATGTGTGCAGACGTTACCCTTATCCATGTAGGTTGGAGTTGCCTTGAACTAGCATATTATTTTATAGTATATATGACTGCAAAGGTTACAGCTGCAGATTAGCTCATTTCTTCTGTATGGCTTGGCATTAAATTTTTTCAGTATAGATCACTGCAAAGTTTACAGCTATAGATAGTAGATTTGCTCATTTCTTCCATGTAGCTTGGCATTTAATTCTTTAGCATAGATCAATGCAAAGTTTACAGCTATAAGATAATATATTTGCTCATTGCTTCCACGTGGCTTGGCATTTAATTTTGTTCTAGTATAGATCACTGCAAAGTTTAGAGCTATAGCTTAGCTCATTTCTTCCATGTGGCTTTGCAGTTTGCATTTAATCATTAATGGAGATTCTTTAAATTGCAGACCGCTGGTCGCTCTCTTTGTTCATCCATTATATCTGAAGAGGTTTTGGCTTCATGTTCGGGAGGTCCACGTGGCAATGAACAGTTAAGAATCTTACTCTGAGGATTTTCTGTTTTTTCTTTTCATCATCATTTTTCTTTTTGGACTGTATACCCTTTTCTTTTACATACAAAATATTTTTAGTGTTGTATAGATCTTTTGATAGCCTGTGTTTTTATTTGAAAAATAAATAAAAATTGTAACTTGGGACCCGTTTCCAACCGTTTCACTCACATCACAACTAGACACTATTTTTAGCATTTAGCACTTGATTTTTTTCCATGAAGCTGCAACAACAACAACAACCCAGTTGGATCCCACACGAGTAGGGTCTGGGAAGGGTGTGAGGGTGTGTGTACGCAGACCTTGCCCCTACTCGAAAGTAAAGAGGCTGTTTCCAAGAGACCCCAACTCAGCTGCATAGATAAAAAGATCGCAGAAGATACATAAAGCAAAGAATGTGCAGATAAAGTACAAAACACAGAGAGACAAAGAACAAATTAAGGGTAACAGAGGAAAAGTACTGCAAACGGAGTGTTAGATTTAATCGCGTTTGTTCACATATAACCGAATGGGTAATGAGTCAATGTTTTGGGTCAGTTAGTATAGAGTCAATTAGTGTGGTGTCGTTTAGTGTGTTTTACATGTTTAATTAATTTAAATAAAAAACAGTTGGGCAGTTTCTAAAAGGCAGTTATGGGTAGTTTCTATTGTTAATAGGTGTGTTGGTTTGTAATAGTTGTGTTGGTTAGTAAAAGTCATGTTGGTCTGTTCTCTATTTATTTCTAGAGAACACAAATATTCCTGTACAGTTTACGGCAATAAAATATTCTACTTTGCTTTGATTTGGTCCTGTGTAACACAGAGAACACCAAGCATACAAGGCATACCAAGCACACAACAAGTACATAAAGCTCCTCTTAGCTCAACTACTCTAGTCCTAGCTTTCCAAACACTCCTGTCTAAGACCATATCCTCAATAAGGGCAAGAAGACCCAATCCTTTCTAATCACTTCCTTCCAGGTCTTCCTAGGTCTACCCCTTCCCCTACTCCCACCTACTAGCGTAAGCCTCTCGCATCTTCGCACAGGAGTGTCAACATTCCGTTGCCACACATGCCCAAACCATCTCAACCTAGCTTCGCGCAACTTGTCTTCCATGAAGCTGCAAATCTAAAATTGGTTAAGGGTTTGTAGAAGTGTAGATTGCAGCGTGTATAGAATAAAAGTTTGCATAATACCTCTATCTTCCTCTTGCATTTCTGGAACTGATTAAAATTTTATCCATTTCTCTCTCCCTTCAAACCAAAATAATTTCACCTTTTTATTTTAAAATATTTATCGTTGTTTCGTGAAATTGGCAGATATGCAGCAGTCTTTGCAGCTTTTGTCGCTGGCATGTCTTGCTTAGTTGGTATTGACTTTGGTGCCAAGATTCTAGCTTCACTGGCAAAAACATTTGAGGTGCATGACTTGTTAACAAATATTCCACCTTATGAATTACTCCATTCGTCCCATGATTTTGATTTGTTAATAAATATTCCACCTCAGTTCCATGTTTGGCTTGGCACACTTTTTAATAACAATGAAATTTTGTGGTTGAACTTTGTTTAGAGTAGAGAGAAACAATATGGACCACAAACCTTTTTCTTAAAAAGGAAAGGGAACAAATTTATGGGACGTCCCTAATAGGAAATAAAAAATAAAATTATGGGATGGAGGGAGAAATTTTTGAGTGGTTTGCATATAGGAACTAATGAAACTGCAACTAGTTAAAAAGCACAAATGAAAAAAAAATCTAACTCACTATCTTTTGTGTGTGTGTGTGTGTGTGTGCGCGTGCGCGCACACACATGCACACATAATTCCCATGATACTCTTCTCATGCATTCTTTTTTTGTATACTCTGTATAGGAAGAGTACTTAAAAGAGGACATGTCATTGAGGAATCTGACTCTTCTGCTTTCATACTTATACATATTTGGAGTTTTCTCTAGGTAGGTGAAAATTTGATTCTTATTTTTTCCACATATAGGTATATATATAGATGCAGCCCATACATCATTCTATTTTCTCACCCTCACATGATTTAGACTAATTGTAACTCCACATTTAATATGCTCTCCAGTGATTTAATATATGATTTCTTGGTAATGCTGAGTAAGAGATTGACAGAGGCCGATGTTGCTACAATTTTGTCTGTCCTACAATGTAAGTTTTCCTTATACTATTTTTATAATCAGAATGCTTTAGTGCCCATAAATCACTTTGATCTTTTTAACCATGTAATTGGGATTTATCAAGAGAAATATTTCTAGTAAAAAAAACAACTAATGGGCTAGTTAGTCTGGAATCAGTTGTCACTAGTTCATTTTTGTGACTGAACAGGCTGTGGGATGAAATTGAGAGGGGATGATCCTATTGCTATGAAGAATTTTATAATGAGCATTCAGAACAGGGTTAATGAATTGAAGACCTTGCCTACAGATGCACAATCAAATCATAACAGCAAAAGGGTATGCTTACTGTCTACTTTTCATTCATTACCATTAGTCCATTATGTTGTCTCTTCAAGACAAGAAATATTTCCTGGTATTATCTGAGTAATTGTAAATATCATCATGTTGTAGATGGAATTCATGCTTCAGACAATATGTGAAATAAAAAACAACAAAAAGAAGCCCAAGGAGGAAACTGTGCAGCTTACTCGAATAAAAAAATGGCTACAGAAGGTTTGCATCCATTGATATATGAGCTATTTCAAAAGTATGTTATGCATGCTGCACAAAAAGTGTAATTGGGACAATGGATTCATTTCGGCACCAAATAAAATTTTATGTAGAGACAGGGTACAATGCCTTATGTCAAGCCATCACGTATTTGCATTGTGTTACCACAGAATTCTGGTTGTCAATTATGATTCCTACATTAATTTAAATCTCTATGCAACTTTTTTTTTCTTTTTTCTTTTGATTACAGCTGAGAGTGGATGATATTATACTCCGGGGATTAAAGTGGTGCAAGCTTATAGATCCAGACAAGAGAGGTCAGTGGTGGTTGTCTGGGGATGTGAATGTAAATTCTGTTCAAAATAATGTTAGGGAGGTTGCAAAAACAATTGACATGGAGGTCCTTGAGGCTCAAAGAATGCTAGAGCTTGCTGCCGGACAGAGGATGAACACAGATGCAAGAAGAGCAATTTTCTGTGTAATAATGAGTGGAGAGGATTACATTGATGCATTTGAGAAGCTTCTAAGATTGGATTTGCCTGGGAAGCAGGTTAGGATTCCTCCTTTTGTTGTCTCGCTCTTTAGGGAGTGAGACAACCTTGTACCTAGGTTATGTAACATGACATTGTTTGGTACAAGTAATTAAATTATCCTGGTCACGTAGCATTTCTGTCTTGTCTGGAATCCTAAGCAAACAAGGGGTAAGGGGATTACCTTCATTTTCCTATATATTATATGATTAAATTGGTAAAGATTAGACTATTATGAGTCTGTCAGTGATAATTTGACAACACATGTTAAATCACATTATATGAACTAAATGGCTAAGGGGCGTTTGGGAAGATTCACAAAATGTGAGATTTATTTTAGATAATATTATTACTGCATGTAAAAGTTAGTAAGATGATCCTATCTGCCGATTTAAATAAATGTATCATGTTTAACGCTTGTTCCCCTGTTTTTTAGAAAATTATGGAATAACTTCTATGGAAAATTAGCATTGCTTGTGAAATAGTACACTCTTTGGGACAAAAAGGCGATTGCAACAACTCTTTTTTTGGGACATGGGGAGTTTTACTGAGGTTGTTGAATTGCCAAGAACAAACTGGGAATAGTATATAATATTACCTTGTCATAGTCCGTGGTAATCCTTATAGTTAAAGTATCCTGACAATCCTTAAACCAAACGCTCCCTTACAGTGTTACATAGTATTATGGTAGCAAACCAATTTAGTTTCTCACCCTTTTTGCTCTACAGGATAGGGAGATCATGCGTGTTCTTGTGGAGTGCTGCTTGCAGGAGAAAGTGTTCAATAAGTACTACTGTGCATTAGCCTCTAAGTTATGCAGCCACGATAAAAACCACAAGTTCACTCTGCAGGTATGCAGGAACAATGATATAATCTATAGAGATTTTGTCCCATTTTGTTTAATGTTATTTTGCTCAAAAGGCTTAATTTCCCCAAGGTAGTTTTTGGGAACTAACATTTCATTTCAATTCCAAAATTTGAATTCTTGAACTTCAAATGACAATGAGAGACATAAGGATTTGCAATTGAGCTTTGCAATGAACTCGAGGAATTTGCCTCAAATCCAAAATTTTCAAGATTTCCCAAACATGAAATTTGAGCCAAATCCAGATTTGAAATCCAAACTCCATCCCAAAATTGCCGCAAAGGAAAAGCATTTGGTAACATCTATTTTTGTCAGAAGCTACTCATTCTACTGATAAGCCACAATAGTCTAGAACGGGCTACAAAATGGCCCTTGAAGCCATGATTAACCAATAATCGTCATGCCCATATTTATTATGTGTATTTTGTAATGATGCAATGCAGTATTGCCTTTGGGACCATTTCAAGGAACTGGAATCAATGCAGCTGATGAGATCGATGCACCTCTCAAGATTCATTGCAGAGATGCTTTCCTCTTTTACCCTTTCGCTTTCAGTCCTAAAGGCAGTTGATTTTGGTGATATTACGCAATTAACCCCGAAAAAGATCATGCACTTCCGGATGCTTTTTGAAGCCATATTTGAGTTCCCGGAGGAACGTGTATGGAACATATTCACCCGGATAGCCATGCCGGAGTATGAGACGCTTTGTAATGGGATTGCCATATTTATAAGGGAGTATGTTGCAAGTGGTGGTCAGAAGAAGTCTTTGGCTGGTAAATTCAAGATTGCCAAGAAGGCCATGAACAATGTTGAAGGGGTATTGATGTGAGACTTGGTTTTGGTGCTTCTTTTTGTAGGGTGAGATGATAAATATTTAATACCAAGTTGCTTAGGTTTTTTTCCCTAATGCTACACAACAACTTTGAGGTTTTTACTTGTTTTTTGTGTTCAAGGATTTTGTGCATTGTCCTAGTGAATACAACTATGTTTTATGGAGTATCTAATATAAGGTACTTAAGGGATCCATGTTTTTGTTAAAAGCTAGCCGGGTTGATCACCCCTATTTGAGTCAAGAAGCCTGCTCACATTCTTATTATCTTTTGGCCCGGCCTGGCCTGTTTGAGTTCGTATAGTTGTTCATATCTTCTCGTTTTAAGGGCATGATAGGCGGGGTAGACTGTTCGGTTCGAGTTTCTACAGGTTTAGTTGAAGCAATCAATGATGAGGTGGTACATCGAATTCCTACTTTTTCCCCTCCTCTCGTGTCTCCCTTGTAACTAAGTAAAGAGGAAACTTTCACTCCTTTCTCTCCCCAATTAAACAGGCCCTAAAATGGAATTTGAGGCGCTACCGACTTTTTTATAACCAATTCGTGTCAGAAGAAACGCATATCCTAGTCTGATAAAAAGCATCTATGACATTCAAGTGTGACGTAACTCACATAAACGTGGATTTTCAAAAACAAGTAATTAGTTTTATTACCCAACTTCTTTTACAAACATAGCACTAGTGCCCCTTCAAAAAAAAGTTGTACGCCCCACTAATATTTCTCAAACTAAAAAAAGGCCAAAACATTTTAACACTAATTAAAAATTAGTTTTTTGTAATCTATTTATGCATAATTTATAAACACAAAAATATTTATTCATTTAGTTATAAATTACGCATAGTAATTTAAAATATTGAGGGAAAATTTAATACTATTTTTATCGCTTCACATTGTTTTTCAAAAAGAAATTACCCCTAAACCCCTACCTTATTCTTGCCCCCGATCTTCCTAGTGAATTGTCAAACAAGATTATGGCCTTCTTTGGGATCAGTCTTTTCGATTAGCGTTAGCATTTTAGATAAAATTTTAATGGTGTAGATTGATTCTGAAAAAGCTAACGCTAAAGCTACCGTCGGATAGCCTTTTCAAAACGCTAAAGCTAGTCTCTACTCGTTTGTGAAACTGGGCCCATATGTTAGCCAACCTAATCCGATTCGAAGTCCAGACAAAGTTGGGCTCCAAGGTAGCCTATTATGCCATAGATAGTGCTGGATAGAAGAATCTTGTCGTCCCAAACCCAAAGTCCCTCATCAGCACCCCCTTCTCTCTAATCGCGAGAAGTTGAAAAACCCAAATCCCCAATCTGCAACCCTCGATCAACCCTCCCATGGTTTCTCCGGCAACCGCCTCTCAAATTGAGGGAGCGCCTCCACAGTCGGATCTTTCGAATGTAGAGAAGCAGACGCAGTCTGCGGCGGATGCGGCTTCTAGGCCACCGGAATCTGCCGATAAAAATGGAGGCGCTGTGGCTGAGCAGCAAGCGGCGTCCGCGGCATCGGCCGCTATACCTAAGTGGCCAGGGTGGCCCGGGGATAACGTTTTCAGGCTCGTAGTTCCGGTTCTTAAGGTGGGCAGCATAATTGGGCGCAAGGGCGAGTTCGTGAAGAAGATGTGTGAGGAAAGCCGAGCTCGCATTCGTATCCTGGAAGCCCCGATTGGGAACCCAGATCGGATTGTAAGATAATTGTTCTTTGAAGTTATTCCATATTTTTCTTTAACCTAAGAACAGTTTACTCCCTCTATTTGTTCAGGTTGGATTTTTTTTCAGTTAAGCATAACATATTTTTAATATTTTTTTGGTACAACAAATTTTGATTTTAATACAAGGAAATAATTTTATGAAATAAATCTATAGAAATCATTCTTAGTATTAGTATACAATAAGTTTTTTTTATTTAATTAATGATAAAGTTTTGTTCAATCAAGAATTCTAAAGTCTAGACATAGTAAGGACATTAAAATGAGCCTATCAATTTCACTGATTTTCTTGGGCTATTTCTTCTCTAACTAGGTTGCTGTCAACCTCATTAAGTGTCTAAAGCTAAACAACTGAATAAAAACCATACCTTTGCATTCCAAAACTATATACCTGTCCTCCTCAAAATGAAATTTTCCGTTTGGCTTCATTGTGATTAAGGAAGTGCTTGAAAGTAAAACATGTATGATTGAAATTTATTTGGAAGATAGGGAAATTCTATGAGCCACATATTCTTTTGCTTAATGGGTAAGTGAGAAAGTGTGAACTTCATTTTTGGACGGAGGGAATATGATTTATTCTTCCATAAAGCTCAAGTAAGGAAAGAAAGACTGTTTTTGCAAAAAGTAAATTATGGCACCCGCTTTCGTGTCATCTGCCAAGCAAAAAAATGTAACCTGTTTTTTTTTGTACTCTGTAGGTTCTAATTACTGCAAGAGAAGATCCAGATCTACCACTATCTCCTGCCATGGATGGAACACTGAGAGTATTCAAACGTGTTTCTGGATTGTCTCCTACAGAGGAAGGTGGTGCAGATTCTGCAGCTGCCATGACTGCATTCAGTTCAATTAAATTATTGGTGGCTGCTTCACAAGCTGCTCACTTGATAGGGAAGCAAGGGTCCACAATTAAATCGATACAAGAAAACTTTGGCGCCTCGGTGCGGGTTTTGCCTGAAGGTTTGCTGACATAAAGTCTCACTGCTGTCACTTAAATAACTTCCTTTTGTGAAAATAAGTTATTTTCTTTACACGCCTTATGCAATTTCTCCTGGCCAAGTGATTTTTTATTACTTAAAAACATCAGTAGTTCAATACTTACTGACTTGGACAGTCTTTATCACAAGTCTTCAACTTTTTCACTCTCTGTGTACTGAGTGCATAGTCATGTACTTGTAGAGCTGTAGTATATCACAACCTAATCATGGTTTGCAGGATTGTAATACTTTCTGTAAAATTAAGTCTTGTGATACCTTATACTTTAAGTTTTACAACTTTTGTCCCATTTATTTGCCGCATTTTCTGCTCCCAAGTGAAATATGGTGTTTTGATTTTTAATTTATTTAAACAAAATACGTAGTATAATATGATGTATTCAATTTTTGAGAGACCGGGTCCAATTGCATTTTTCAAATAAGGTAGTGCATTTTTGGAAGTGGCAGTGAAGTTTGATTTCTTTACAAAATTACCACCACAATTTCATTCATTTTTTCATATTTTTTTATTTTTAATAGTCCTTAGATCTTAGTTCTTCAGTCCAACAAATTGTATGCATTCTCATTTCTTTCACCATGCATCATTCTTGTATGAGCCTATATATGTGTGTGTGTGTGGATAACATATTAAAGGAACTATATATTTTTTAAGGTTGATGACCTTCAATTTCTCCTTCTCTCAGATGAATCGCCGGCATTTGCTGCTCCTGATGAGAGAATTGTTGATATTCATGGTGAGGCGCAGAAGGTTCTCAAAGCTTTGGAGGCAATATTAGGACAATTAAGGAAGTTTTTGGTTGATCACACTGTTTTGCCTATATTTGAGAAGCCTGTAAGTGTTATGGTATTGATATATGCTATGCTCTTCTTCTTTTTCTTCTATATAATTACTGAGGCATGATCCATTGCAGCAAGAATCAACTGTTCCTCAAGATCGCCCATCTGAGCCCTGGATGGAAATGCCCCGAGCCCCATATCTACCTAATTCTGTTCCTTCAAGACCAACTCAATCTCTTTCTGAGTATTCACTTCCCATGAAACGGGATCCTTATTCACTTGATCTGGATACCTCATTGGACGCCAAGCTTCAACGCTCTTCAGTTTCACTCTTTGGACAAGATCCTGCACTTCATGGATTACCCTCTTCTGTATCTTTACGAACTGCTCCAGTTGTTACTCAGGTTAGTATAGTATTCATTTGTTAAATCTCCTTAACTTGTAAACCTTCTTGATTTTTTTGTCAAGGTTGTCATTTGTTTCCTCCAATCACTCTGGCAGTGGCAGTAAGTTTAAAATCTAAAATACTTAGTCAATAGATATCAAGTAGACTTTATTTAATTCATGCAAAATATAAAAATTTGGTATTACATGTACCATTATATATGCAACATGTTATCCAACATTTTTCTTTCACATATCAGCTTTTTTCCCCTTCTCCCTCATCAGAGGCATATTTTTGTGTGAATCCTTGCATGCATTTATCAATTAATCCTTCAAAGTCCTTATTTTTGGAGATAAAACACTTGACCCTCCAAAACCATCAAAACAAACTGATCCTAATAGTGGAATGAGTCAGAACATTCTTTATGTAGAATAGGACATCTGATTCCACTTTTGAATTTTCGATTCCATAACGTTCTGAATCATCTTTGCTCATATGTAGCATTGCTTTTAACACAATTATATTCTTGTTGATATTTGAATAATGTTCCCTTTGTGTTTACCTGGGGTAGATGACAAAGATAATGCAAGTGCCCCTATCATATGCTGAGGATATTATTGGTATAAGTGGAACAAATATAGCACATATCCGTCGCACTAGTGGGGCAATACTTAGCATACAAGAAAGCAGAGGCTCACCTGATGAAATTACTATTGAAATTAAAGGGGCATCACCTCAAGTTCAAACGGCTGAGCAGCTTATTCAGGTAGTCTCCCATCTTAGCTGATTCTTGTCTCTTTAGTTTTGTTACATTGCAATTGGTACTGATTTTGCTTTGGGCTGTTGCCTGCTGCTCAACCTCAATGTTGGCACATGAAGCTAGTCACCAAAAGAATAGAGGGAAAAAGCAATTGATTTCATAAAATTTTAATCGAACTTGTGCTATAGCCACCATACCAATAGGCAATAGTACCATGTGGAAGGCCACCCTTTTCCATTTTTCACATGTCTTTAAAGTTAAGTAGCAAAAATATGCCCCCTGTGCCTATAATTTTGGATGATGTGTATTATCATGATCTCCATCCAACCCAACCTTCTAGATTCTTGAAGTGTATGCACCATCCTCTCTTAAAATTACTATTTTCCTGGCAGAAACACATGTTAACCCTCACAAGTCACAATAAAACAAAAAACCCAGTGTACTCTCAACTTCGTTGACTCATGATGCATTGATGCATTTTCTTCCCAACACTTCATTTAAAGTACTACGTTAGAAGCAAGGGAAGTTTAATTCCCTTTCATGTTTTAAAAAAAAAATCATGCAATATCCCGTAGAGAAGG